TGAAACCAAGATCCCAGTGGGTTTTATTGTGGGAGGGCTCAGATCCTGGGTTTGCTGGATTTCGTTGGAGGATGTGCAGATAGCTTAGCAGATGTACTGGCGGTTTATTACATTAATGTGTGCGCTCTGCCCCTCCCCGACAGAGGCACACGCCGGGACCCTCCTCTTTTTACGGTCTGATGGGCCCCTACACAAATGCACACGTGCCACTGCTTTGTGGTTCTCCTCCGGGGGTCCCGGAGTTGCCAAAAGGAAATGTCCGTCACCGCCACAATTATCACAATTTCGAATTAAAACTGGGTGAGACGAGCTTGGTTAAACAGAAACCCAAAGGTGTGTTTCTTCTCGTGTCCGCTGTGGTGCTGGTCAGAGAGGCGGCTCACACACGGCTGTAAAACTGTGTTTGCAGTGCACAGTCATCCAGTTTGTTTTAAGACTAAACATTTTTTTCTATCCACGCACTTGACTCGTTTATGCGTGACCTTTACGCGCGTTCCGCGGGCACATCAGTGAACTAAAGACACTTTTTAAAGACCTTTATTTTGGTCTTGAATAAACACTACAGAGGGAGTGTTTCTTTATTTTAGGGCACGTGTCTGTCTCGGTAGTTTAACTCGACATATAAATCAGTCATCTCGCTGCATACATAAGTAATAAGAAGGCCCTCTGGTCTTTGTGCACAATGGCTACGTCTGCCCGTGCTTGGATATCCTGTCTCTCTTTTTTCCGTTTGAAAGGCAAATTGACCTCTTAACTGTGAAACGGGACTCACGGCCAATCTGGCCCACAGCTAGACGCGTGCTGGGCGGAATCAGTGCTCCAGACAAAGAAGGCCGAAGCCGAATTTCGTGTTGGGGAGAAATGCTGCCCAGATATTCAGAGCTAAAATGTGGCTGATGTAGCTGCTGGATAGCCCAAAAGTGTTTGGGGGATGTTAGAAGTTGAGCACAATTCTACCGGAAGAAGCGAATCTAAGTTTGGATTGTGTCGAATCCACGTTTTTAACAAACTGAACGGTTTGATTTACTTTCAAATGTCTCAAAGCAAAACTCAGCTTGAGTTAAACGGACTCATTTCGCAGCACGTCTCCATCAAACAAAGACAGACCGCACTGTTGTCTATTTCTCTTCCCCGTCAGCGCTCTGCGATTCTCTCATATTTTGTGTGCAAGTCTTCTTTTTTTTCGCCATAATGGCTAAATGTATGCGGCAGTGCGCCACTTGGCAGAGTGTGCATTCTTTTTCCCTTTCAGTCAGCAGACCAGGGAGGAATTAATCTCCATCATCGGACATTGTTCCCCTCATTTGCATAAAGCTGCAGTATGACCAAGTCAAATAATTGCACAATCGGAGCCGAGCCGCAGGCCTGTGCCTTGCTTTCAATAGGCCTCTGTGCCCCGGTGCCTCCTCACCTGCCTGAAAACACACCGTTATGTTTGTTGGAAATGGTTAAATGATAGATTAGCTGAATAATAATGTAATAAAGTCTGAAATGCCCATGAGGCAGACTTAAAACTGCGGGAAACCTTTAAATTATTCCAGTAAGTGACAAAGTTTGACCACGATTTTGAAGTTTCTCTGAGAATCACGTTTAAACGCGTCGTTCATCTAATCGTAGCTGTTTTTTTGTATGTTGTTTTATTGTCACGGGTTTCATCGACTGGCCCAGAGGTAATTATAGATTTTCTCTGAATGAGAAACCTCTCTAAAACCTGATTTCTGTCCCTGCTGCCTCACGCTCTCCTCCGCCGCTCTGTAACTGTTCTTCTTTCAGTCTGCGCGTCTATTAGTCGTGGTTTGTTGGGACTACAAGCTTTGATGGCATTTTAACGAGTTCCTCTTTCCCCCGAGATAATTTCTGTGGGGCGCGTGGGCCGGTGTGTTGGCCTTGGCCGCACCGACGCATGCGCGTGTTTGCTCAGTGGCGCGTGCTGCCCTGCGCGGACGGGAAGCATAGGCGCCTAATTAGCATACAGCTGCAGCTGCTTTAACGCAGGCCCAACTCCATCCTTTTAACCTTATGGCATGCTATAGGAGTCCACTATTGCTCGAGTTCGCCTCTTTCTTACAGGTTATGATGTTTATGTTGAAATATAATATCAGTAAACGTGTAAAATATATCAATAAGTACATTTTAGATGTTTTTTTCATTGAGGTTAAATCACATTTCTTTGCTAAAGGCACGCTTTGTTTTGTTTTTTGTCCATCCTTTTGCAAATAAGCTCTTACAATGACTGCTAAACCTTTGTAGGCCTGTTAGTTTATGGCTTAACTGCATCACCAGAAGCCTGATTTGAATACTGGTCCATTTCTGAGATTCTGGCTTCAGAGCTCAGCTCTTACTTCATTGCACCACCTACAGGATGAAGGGTTAAACTCTGTGACAAAGGCAGAGTTTACCTCCAGTCACCAGAACCTAATGATCTTTTAAAAGGCGTCACCACATAGTTTGTGTTCAGCATTACTCGTGATTACAGACGGAGCTTTGGAGCCGTTTGGTCACGTCACACAGATTGGATTACACTTATTCTCGCTGTAGCTCTACAGACACCTCCTGTACATCCCTGATGAATGATTGCCTCCATGTGCTGTGCCAATCAAAGCCAATTTGAAAGTGCAATAGGACGTGACTGTAATTGGTGCTCACTACAGGGCCACATTCAATGCACTGTCAATCAATTATTGTAATGGATTAGCTGAGCTCCTATTCTGGCTGGTTGTAATCTGATAGAGGGCTTTTTCAGCACCATGGAGAGAGCCAGCGAGGGATCCAGATTTAATCAGACTGGCTGTGGACACAGCACAGCCTCGGCTACAGCCTTTGTCCCCAACGCTGAGAGCAGGCAGAGACCGGCAATAGAACAGAGATGCAGCAGAACAAAAGAGCCTAATGAAGCCATCGGGTTTTTTGTTTTTTTAATATCCTTGTTCAAAACACAGACACAATTTTTATCAAGGGAAACTGTGTATAACTTCACTCTTGTCCAGTCATCTGGCTTCACGGGCTCCATATTCCTCGACTTATTCAATACCTTCAAAGTGACTTGGCATCCTCATATACAGACCTTCACCCTTACACTTCCCAGTTTCAGCTGCTGTTCTGACTGCTCCTCACTTCAAACCTAACACCACGGGTGCCCGAGCTTTCAGCTGTGGTGCAACTCATCACCTCTACACCTTCGCCAGCTCGACTCTTTGTCACAGCTCAAATCTCAGCTCAAAACCTGCCTGTTTTCATTTGCATATCAGCTGCAATCATCCTGTTATGTTTTACTTTCTCAGTTTTATCTTTTAATAGTGTTCTTGTAGTTTAGCGTTGTGTAAGATGACCTCGAGTGTTTGAAACACGCCAACGGATGAAATGTGTTATTGATTTTGTCATCTCCAGCTCTAAGTTCGTCCCTCACTGTGGGAAAATAAATTTATTTTTTTTAAAAACTGCAGTTCTGAAACACCTTTGTATTCCAGTTTCCAGATACTGACTGTAAACTGAAGGATTTTAGTGCTTGAAGTACTTTGTTTGAAGGTCACGTCTCTAATGCGGGCTAACACCTTAGTTTCCTGCTCTCTGACCAGAAATCATTGTGGCTGTTTTCACAATTTGCGTCCCGTGTGACCTGGAAAACCATCTGTAGGCGATGTGTGGGAATTCAACAAGTCCCTGCGAGGCAGGAATCAAACTGCTCCTGTAAAGAGCAACAATAGTAAAAGGTTTGTGGAAAAGAAGTCAGACAGTAGAGCCAGAGGATCAATGGGGAAATTGGCTGTTTAGCAACGAGTGCAGCACGGAGGTCACTGTCTAGACTTTAAAGTGTACTTTGGATGGATGCCCATGAGACCAGGTTACTGTGAAAAGCCCTATAAAGTGGTATAGCTCTGAGCTTAAGACTAATGGACCTGGTGG